GGAAGAGTTCCAAGTGAGGAACGCGCGGAAGAGCGTAAGAAGTGGATCAGAGGTGACAGTAAAGCTAAAGCACTGATTGGTCTCTCCCTATCAGATGAGCATCTTGAGCATGTACGTGATGTTGATACTGCTCATGAGATGTGGGAAGCTATTGTCAACGTGTTTGAGAGGCACACTTTGCTGAACAAACTAGCTGCACGTCGTGAGTTCTACACTGTGAAGATGCTTTCCGGTGAAAAGGTGCTTGCATACATCAATCGTGTCAAGCAGCTGGCAGCCATCCTCAAGTCAATGAGCGTAAACATCGATGACAAGGAGATGGCCATGGCAGTGCTCAACGGTCTGCCTGCCCGTTTCGAGGCTCTCATCGTTGCACTTGATGCTCTCGGTAATGAGGAAAAGATATTCAGTTTGGACTTTGTGAAAAGTCGTCTGCTGCAGGAAGAGCAACGAGCAAACATGAAGTCTAGCTCCTCACAGACATCGGCTCTGGTTAATCGTGCCCCGAACAATCGGGACATAAACGATTACAAATGCACGAACTGCGGTCATACAGGCCATACGGCAACCCGCTGCTGGGGAAAGGATTTGAATGGGCGTCGCCCGGCTCCTCCTAGCGGATATAAACCGCGTATGTCTCAGCGGAAACAATCTGCATTTGTCACACAGAAACCTGATCCCGACATGGTTGTAAACAGCGTCGACTTCACATGTCTGATGTCGAAAGCTTCGCACACGAACGATATGGAGATGTTGCCTTCGTGGCTCGTAGATTCAGCTTGTACAGCTCATATTACATATGACCGATCTTTGTTTGCGACGTATGAGCCACTTGAATCCGCCTCTGTTCAGATGGGAACCAAGGCTAGTGCAAAGGTTGCGGGCCGTGGTGACGTTCACTTGAAGTTAAATGTGAATGGCCGCATCGAACCGTGCAAGTTGACGGATGTATTGCACGTTCCGGACTTTGCGTTCTCTCTGCTCTCTGTCAGTCGAATGACTGAACTTGGACTAAAAGTTGGGTTCGAAAATGGAAAATGCATGATCAGACGAGGCTCAACTGTAGTGGCGACTGCGACATTGGTTGGAGAACTTTACGTTCTCGACATCGTCAGTGACATCGGATCTGCACATGCTGCCACCCTGCAAACGTGGCATGAGCGCTTTGCACATGTGCATTCTCAAGGTATTGCTTCGATGATTCGTGACAATGTGGTAAGTGGAGTCAAACTACTTGGTAATGAGGCTAACAAAATCAACAATACTGACAATGATTGCATCTCTGAAAAATGTTCTGCGTGCGTCTACGGCAAAGCCACTCGATCTGTGATCCCAAAAGAGCGGTCCTCGAGGCGGGCATACTTCTGTCTAGACTTAGTTCACTCTGATGTTTGTGGCCCCTTAGAGGTGCAGTCCATTGGTGGTGCCAAGTACTTCATTACCTTCATAGATGATCACTCAAACTGGTCGGTAGTGTACCCTATACACCATAAATCAGAAGCATTTGAACGATACAAAATGTTTGCACAACTTGCTCAGACTCACACTGGTCGCAAGATCAAAGTGCTTCGCACCGATCGAGGTGGTGAGTATCTGTCCACGGAGTTTAAGTCTTTTCTGATTGCAAATGGTACTCAGCATCAAATGACGACCGCGTACACTCCGGAGCAAAATGGCGTCGCCGAACGACTGAACAGAACTTTGGTAAACTTGGTGCGCTCCATGCTAGCGCACAAGAAAGTTACAAAGGGGTTCTGGGCAGAAGCACTTGCCAATGCAGTGTACGTTCGAAATCGAGTCACGTCACGTGCCATTCCCCCCAAGATGACCCCATACCACTTATGGATGAAATCTGTGCCAAATGTTGGTCATTTGCGTGTTTTCGGTTCAAAGTGTTGGTATACATTACCAAAACACAACATCCAGAAACTTGACGCCCGTGCAAAGGAGGCAATGTTTCTGGGGTATGCTGAAAATACGAAAGCTTACAAGTTGTGGGATGGTGATTTACACAAAGTGATCGTATCCAGAGATGTTACTTTTGACGAGTCCACGGGAGGCAAATCTGGTGAACCGATGGATACAAACGAGGAGGTTTCAACTGATGATGACACAATCAACTTGAACATCGATGAGGAAGTTGCAGAAAATGATGCAGTGGCATCAGAAGCATCATCGCCGGATGAACAACAAGACTCTGATGAATCCTCCAACTCCTCCCCAACTGCAGGGGAGGACGAAACCACCGAAACAGTTGACCAACACGTAGTTGAGGAAGAAACTATTGATCCGCCAACTAATCTCCGTCGGTCCACTCGCATTCGCAAAACGCCTGGGGCGTGGTGGGCAGTATTGAAAATGTGCGACCACATGCTGTTATCTGGAAAGTGCAAAATCGAGCGACACGTGTACATGACTCGGCGGTCCGGACCCTCACCCCATATCACCACATGACACGTGTAAGTTCTCAGATTTTGGGGTTCTGGGGACGAAAGTGGACTTTTGGAGGGTCATGCAAATTTGCATAAATGCCGAAAATTTGCATTTGGCCCGAACCGTTATAGGGCTACAGAGGCAATACTGCAAATCTATTGGGTGTCGGTTCGAATGCTGCAATTCTATTGGTCTGTTATTGTCCACTTATATGCAGTCATGCTGGTGATATATCTTGAATGATCGGTATACGTTTTAATTACATCATTTCCGGGGTTTCAAGTTGTTCACCATGGTTGTAATGGCTAATTACGTGTGGCCTTGGCGCTGGACAGTTGTGTGCGGTGTACACATGTACACATCGCCAGGTTGCTGCGTGTACGTACACTTGTACACGTCGCCTACATACGGTCCGGCGCGTGTCCGAGCACAGTACATGTGAATTAAAAGTACAACAAGTATTTCTCGCAAGAGACATGTACTAACATGAGTATTCAGTGTACGCGTCACGCTGTATGCGACCCTTGCATCAGCATGCGCCGTTGTATTACACTGTCGTCAGCAGGCGACGTTGTACTGTGCTCTCGTTATGGTGCGCCGTTGGATGCAAGTTGATGACAGTACTCGTGTGATTCACATCGGATATCACGTGAGATGTGTAGGAAGTCTGGATGCACATTGTTGCTGTCCGTGATAGTTGTCTGGCAGTGAGTACCGAAACTAGTAAGGTACGAAACAAGGGCATATATGGGGACTGAGATATGACAGGACTTTGCGTTGTTGGAAATAGAGAGATGCCAAGTTGTTCATTGTGCAAGAATATATTCTGTCATGTCTGGATGCAGATTAGTAAGGTGTGAAACGATTGCATGCATAGGGGCATGGTTTACAGTCACTCGAAATGTGTAGAAACTGTTGTGCACTGATAGTCAATAGTTAACTCGTAAGGTGGAAATAGAACAGTGTGAACGGGCCAGAAGAGGACCGCGCTTGGTCGCGCATATGGTGAGTACGGTTTACCAGGTGCCAAAGTAATGGGATAGTGTAACACTCAAAGTGTATAAGTATCGCCGAAAGACGGCTCCAAGTAAACCTCGGCACCAACTCCTTCACTCACACACATCAACCTGCCTTCCTTCTTTCCCTTGCCCCTCCGAACCTACCATGAGGTTATGGGCCCAGTCCCTCGCTGTCGTTTCACTGCATGAGTCTATCCTTCTCGTTCCGTTGTTTCTGCCGTCGTTGTCGCTGTCGTTTTCGCTGCCGTTTCTCGTCGTTCTTTCCGCTGGTCTTCTCGCTGTCGTTGTCGCTCTCGTTCTTGCCGTCGTTCTTGGTTTTGGTTTTCGCTGCTGCTGTCGTTCTTGCTCTGTTGTGTGAATTGGTTTTGGTCATCGCCCCTGCTGTCTTCGTTGTCTTCGTCCTTGGTTTGGCTTTCGTTCTTGCTGTGGTTCTTGCTGCTGTCTCTGTCTTTGGTCTTCGTCTTCGTTTCCGCTCCCGCTACCGCCGTCGTCGTCAATCTCGCATTTGGTTTTTCTTCGTTCTCTCATGCAAAGTAAGTTTTGAGTTTCTTTCCATTTCCTACACATCTAAGTGATTGTCTTTGCACGTTTTGGTGGTTCTTAAGAGCAATAATTCCAAAATCTGTTACTGACGATTATCTTCATAATCCTTATTGTGAATACCTGTTTTTACGGGGTTGTGTTAGATCTGGAATTAGTACCGGTGCGCTCTGCGCCTGGGAAGCTGGTCACCGGTCGAACGGTTCGGACATCGGAGGTCGTATCCGTTGAGGTGCTTGAGCCTGAGGATCAACCTTCGCCTCGGCTCGCGCTTCCGGGTCCGTCCTCGAGTTGCGCACCTTATAGGATTCCTCGTATTCCGCGCTCTGTTCCCGCACCAATAAAGAGAACTACGCATCGACTTTCTGCTCGGAAAGCGGCTGTTCTCGCGGATAAGCAGTTCAAGCGTGAGCGCAAGAGGAATCGTAAGGTGTGCCCGCGGTATAAGCGGTATTGTAAAGTGTGCGGCGTTAGTGGCAATAGTGCGAAGGCCTTTTACGACCACATTCAGTCTAGGTCTCATCGCATTCAAGTTGCCAACGCTAAGGAGACTCCGCGTTGTATCCCTTGCAATCGCGTCTTTGAGTCTCACGGGCACCTGAAGTGCCACGAGAACGGTGCCGCACACTTAAAGGTAGTTTGTGAACAGAATAGTTAGGGATTTCTTCCAAATAAATTCACATATCTGTTCGCAAATTTCTCCTGGTGCAACTTCATAGTAATCATATCGAACTTCTTAGACGGGTGGGCTTGCCATTGTGTTGACTATCGGTTGACGGCTTGGGATCCCCGAACGGATTTTCGAATACTTGAAGTTTATTTGCACTAAAATGGAAGATCAAGGAGGAGGAGGATCCATCAGAATCGACAAACTGACGGACTCCAACTTCTACGTGTGGAAGCAGAAAATACAACTTCTGCTTGCTCTACGTGATGTTGACCAATACATCGTTGAGGGAAGAGTTCCAAGTGAGGAACGCGCGGAAGAGCGTAAGAAGTGGATCAGAGGTGACAGTAAAGCTAAAGCACTGATTGGTCTCTCCCTATCAGATGAGCATCTTGAGCATGTACGTGGTGTTGATACTGCTCATGAGATGTGGGAAGCTATTGTCAACGTGTTTGAGAGGCACACTTTGCTGAACAAACTAGCTGCACGTCGTGAGTTCTACACTGTGAAGATGCTTTCCGGTGAAAAGGTGCTTGCATACATTAATCGTGTCAAGCAGCTGGCAGCCATCCTCAAGTCAATGAGCGTAAACATCGATGACAAGGAGATGGCCATGGCAGTGCTCAACGGTCTGCCTGCCCGTTTCGAGGCTCTCATCGTTGCACTTGATGCTCTCGGTAATGAGGAAAAGATATTCAGTTTGGACTTTGTGAAAAGTCGTCTGCTGCAGGAAGAGCAACGAGCAAACATGAAGTCTAGCTCCTCACAGACATCGGCTCTGGTTAATCGTGCCCCGAACAATCGGGACATAAACGATTACAAATGCACGAACTGCGGTCATACAGGCCATACGGCAACCCGCTGCTGGGGAAAGGATTTGAATGGGCGTCGCCCGGCTCCTCCTAGCGGATATAAACCGCGTATGTCTCAGCGGAAACAATCTGCATTTGTCACACAGAAACCTGATCCCGACATGGTTGTAAACAGCGTCGACTTCACATGTCTGATGTCGAAAGCTTCGCACACGAACGATATGGAGATGTTGCCTTCGTGGCTCGTAGATTCAGCTTGTACAGCTCATATTACATATGACCGATCTCTGTTTGCAACGTATGAGCCACTTGAATCCGCCTCTGTTCAGATGGGAACCAAGGCTAGTGCAAAGGTTGCAGGCCGTGGTGACGTTCACTTGAAGTTAAATGTGAATGGCCGCATCGAACCGTGCAAGTTGACGGATGTATTGCACGTTCCGGACTTTGCGTTCTCTCTGCTCTCTGTCAGTCGAATGACTGAACTTGGACTAAAAGTTGGGTTCGAAAATGGAAAATGCATGATCAGACGAGGCTCAACTGTAGTGGCGACTGCGACATTGGTTGGAGAACTTTACCTTCTCGACATCGTCACTGACATCGGATCTGCACATGCTGCCACCCTGCAAACGTGGCATGAGCGCTTTGCACATGTGCATTCTCAAGGTATTGCTTCGATGATTCGTGACAATGTGGTAAGTGGAGTCAAACTACTTGGTAATGAGGCTAACAAAATCAACAATACTGACAATGATTGCATCTCTGAAAAATGTTCTGCGTGCGTCTACGGCAAAGCCACTCGATCTGTGATCCCAAAAGAGCGGTCCTCGAGGCGGGCATACTTCTGTCTAGACTTAGTTCACTCTGATGTTTGTGGCCCCTTAGAGGTGCAGTCCATTGGTGGTGCCAAGTACTTCATTACCTTCATAGATGATCACTCAAACTGGTCAGTAGTGTACCCTATGCACCATAAATCAGAAGCATTTGAACGATACAAAATGTTTGCACAACTTGCTCAGACTCACACTGGTCGCCAGATCAAAGTGCTTCGCACCGATCGAGGTGGTGAGTATCTGTCCACGGAGTTTAAGTCTTTTCTGATTGCAAATGGTACTCAGCATCAAATGACGACCGCGTACACACCGGAGCAAAATGGCGTCGCCGAGCGACTGAACAGAACTTTGGTAAACTTGGTGCGCTCCATGCTAGCGCACAAGAAAGTTACAAAGGGGTTCTGGGCAGAAGCACTTGCCAATGCGGTGTACGTTCGAAATCGAGTTACGTCACGTGCCATTCCCCCCAAGATGACCCCATACCACTTATGGATGAAATCTGTGCCAAATGTTGGTCATTTGCGTGTTTTCGGTTCAAAGTGTTGGTATACATTACCAAAACACAACATCCAGAAACTTGACGCCCGTGCAAAGGAGGCAATGTTTCTAGGGTATGCTGAAAATACGAAAGCTTACAAGTTGTGGGATGGTGATTTGCACAAAGTGATCGTATCCAGAGATGTTACTTTTGACGAGTCCACGGGAGGCAAATCTGGTGAACCGATGGATACAAACGAGGAGGCTACAACTGATGATGGCACAATCAACTTGAACATCGATGAGGAAGTTGCAGAAAATGATGCAGTGGCATCAGAAGCATCATCGCCGGATGAACAACAAGACTCTGATGAATCCTCCAACTCCTCCCCAACTGCAGGGGAGGACGAAACTACCGAAACAGTTGAGCAACACGTAGTTGAGGAAGAAACTATTGATCCGCCAACTAATCTCCGTCGGTCCACTCGCATTCGCAAAACGCCTGGGGCGTGGTGGGCAGCAGCTTTGGTGACTGCTGGACTCCTTAGCCACGCCCATGTGATAACGGAAATCCCAAACTCGTACAAGCAAGCTATGGATTCTCCAAAAGCTCGCTTCTGGCAGAAGGGCATCGACAAAGAACTTGCTTCACAACACAAAAACAAAACATGGACACTTGTTCCAAGATCTCAAGCATCAAACGTCCTGACGTCCAGGTGGGTTTTCGGAGTGAAGCAACTTCCTGACGAGTCCGGAAAATTGGTCGAAACTGCAAAGGGACGTCTTGTGGCACGAGGCTTTCAACAAGTAGAAGGCATCGATTACACTGAAACTTTCGCCCCTGTCATCAAGTTCACAACTATCCGTCTGCTGCTGGCACTGGT